CATTAAAAGCCTTAGTATACCACCTCTTATTCTCATCTCAGAAAAAAACAACAATAAAAACACTGAAACTAAATTAATTAAAATAAAACACCTTATTTACCTAACACACATGATTAACATTACCTGATATTTCGTTCATTAAGGTAAACTTTGGGACACAGGTGTAAATTTAAGCTCATTCTCCTGTCCTGACTTAATACTCACGCCTCTGTGGACACAACTCTGGACATATGCACTTCTGAGAGGTCTTACTAAGGTGTGTGTGTAACTGTGTATATTATAATCCCTCGTGTATGTCTGTGTGTCTAATTTAGGGTGTATTTTTTTACCCCCCTCCCCAACCCCTCCCCTCACCTTCCCCACAAAAAAAATTGTATGCTGTAAAGAGAACAATTTTCTACAATCATTTTTATTGTTAATTTTAGCTCGACTGTTTAGTTTATTTTTTCGGTATTTTTGTTCTTTTCTCATTCAATTTGTGAATAATATGGAGACAGTTTTTCATTTTTCTTCTTCTTCTTCAGCTTAACCGGCTCTTAATGCTGTTTTCCATCCGGCTAATCTGGCTTTTAACGTTGATGAAGGTCCGATGTCTCTCAACACGGTGTACAGTACGTCTGGTTTTATCTGGTTTTTGTATTTCCGGCTTTTCTGATTTGATTGTTCTTGTAGGTCAGGCGTCTCTGGCTTTTATTGGTGGTATAGATCCGGCTTTCAGTTTATTTTTGTTAGAGAGCCGGATAGAGTTGTAGTGTGAGATATAAAATGATTGTTCAAGTGAGAGATTACGCTCTAACACGAATTGACTTAACCGGATATAATCTGAGTTAACTTAATCATACTGTGAGTGTCCTAACCTAACCCAACCTGATTCAACTACAAAGCTCAAATACACCAAAAACTGGATGTGTGTGTGTGAGAGAGAGAGAGAGAGTGTGTGTGTGTATGTGTGTGTTTGTGTGTGTGTGTGTGTAAAAAACAGCTTAGTTTTTCCCTACATCTGAAATAACATAAATTACAGCTTCTAACATATTTATGCTACATATAAATTTTTTCTACATACAGTAATCCTCTTAAGTCTCTCGTATCCTTTAATGATATGATTCATGGCACAAAAACCTTTTATTTTACGAATTATGTAAATTTTATCTCCTCGTGAATATCATTTACATATACAGTGTGTGTGTTTTCGTCTCTTTCTGTACAGGTTTTAAGCACAATTTTCCCTGTTTAAAATATTCTTGGCCAATTGGGTACAACACTCATTTCCTCATGTCCTAGAGGTCATTGGTTCACGCTCGGGGGCCCCACCCTTAGTCCACCCTTAGTTCACCCTTAGTCCACCTGCCTGCGCTTGACTTTACTGTTGAGGTCTGAAGGCGATCGAGTGCAGTGCTAAGTCAGGCCTATAAGACACTTACTTGATCTTCCCCATGCCCTCCCTTCCTGTCTGTATGTATGTATGTATGTATGTATGTATGTATGTATGTATGTATGTATGTATCCTCCACCAGTTAGACAGTCACTCGTGGACCTTATACACACTACACAAGGTATCGTCAACTCTCGAGGGTAAATTTCACGATCACTCATACGATAACTTCTGTCGTAAAAACAGTGGCCTTTGAAACGTTTTTTGTGTGTTGTGTTCTGTTGTAGTTGTGTTTTCTTGTTTGTTGTTGTTTGTTGTTGTTGTTGTTGTTGTTAAGTGCTTCAAATACTACTAGAGGTCATTAAACACCACTCACTATAGGTGCTTCAACTACCCGGGTTATTAAGCACTGGGGGGTGTCTAATCTTCATGTGATCTAATTGTTGTTGGGGGTTTTTTTTTTCATAGATAGATATTTGTCTCTTGTTAACCCAGGATGATCAAGACATAGTAGAGATTTACGATTCTGTTTATACTGGGGAAAAATCAATATGGTAGTTTCTGGTGTTTGTCTTGTTAATGGTCTGGTCCAGCATATTTCGTTTATTATTTACGATGGTGTGTGTGTGTGAGAGACGGTGCGTGTGTGTGTGTGAGAGACGGTGCGTGTGTGTGTGTGTGTGAGACGGTGCGTGTGTGTGTGCTGCTTATAGTATGGGTCTCTGAATCTGTTTGTGTGTGTGTGTGTGTGTGTGTGTGTGTGTGTGGGTGTCTGTGTGTGTGTCTGTGTGTGTGTGTGTATAGGCGCATCTAACCACAACTAACCTAATCCAACCTGACTCAAACCTACTCCCACTCCTACTACCCTACCCTACCCTAACCCTATCTTACCCTACCCTACTCCTACCCTAACCCTATCTTACACCCCACCTACCCTACCCTACCCTACCCTACCCTACCCTACCCTACTAACCCTAACCTATCCTACCCTACCCTACCCTACCCTAACCATACTCTCAGCTCAGGTTAAATCTTGAGGTACATACAGAAGAAACTTAACCTCTCCTATCAAGTTAATACACCAAGTTAACTCACTGAAACTTCTTCTGAGGAGGAAACTTGATCATTAAAACTGTTCAAGATTAAGTGAAATTAAGCTAACCCAAGTTTAAGCTTTGCCTTGACCTAAGTAGCTTAAAATAGGTTAGGTTAGGTTAGGTTAGGTTAGGTTAGGTTAGGTTAGGTTAAAATATTTTTTTTTCCTCTGTATCTATGTCATTATATCCCAAATTTTCAATACTTTACCTTAGACAAAAAAGACAGATTCTCAAAAGATCACAATTTACAATTTTTCATTTTCATTACAAAACATTACAGCTAAATTTATAAACGACATACACAAACGACAAACAAAATGTCGTCAATACATTACTGAGACTCTACAATGAAAAATAATCACCTCAGCCCAATCACACGTACAACTAATACCATTCGAATTTTTCTAACTCTCAAAAAGAAAAAGGATTTTGGTTCCTGTGAAAATATAACAAGTGACCAAGTGTGATCCTCGTGAGCTGAGACACGATATCCTCTCAATAATTTCTCGTATCGTCGACTATTTCCCTGTATTTGTTCAGCCACTGTAAAAGAAAAACAAAAAACTAAAATAATAAAACTCGGGATTTATTTCGCTCTAACCCACCACAATCGTCGGGGTTGTCCAGAGAGAGAGAGAGAGAGAGAGAGAGAGAGAGAGAGAGAGAGAGGAGGGACCATTATAGCGATTTTTTGTTGCGGCTGTGAGGTTTGGGCGCTGGGTGTGGGTGTGGGCGTGGGTGGATGGTATGGGTGTGGGTATGGGTCTGGGTGTGGGTGTGGGTGTGGGTGGATGGTATGGGTGTGGGTGTGGGTATGGGTCTGGGTGTGGATGTGGGAGGAGGGTGTGGTAGGCGGGTAGTATCCAGAGCTCAGAGGATAGACACAGTTATTTGGTGACGTGGAAACTCTCGCTGGGTGAAACTGTAGAGGTTAATTACTGTAGAGTCTCTTGATGCACCGAATGACAGTGTTAGATCAGTGTCTGTGTGTCATGTAACCCCCCCTCTCTCTCTGCTCTCTGGTCTTGTTCCCCATACAAGTAGTAAAACTATTATGATTCTCTGAGAAAAGTTTGTGAATTTCATAAGTTTTGGGAGAGAGTTTTCTAACTTTCTCTGAACTAGTCCTTGATGATCCTGGGGAAAAAAGAAAAATCCCTATTTCGTGGGTTTTTTTTTTTAAGGTTGAGGAAAAGGTGAAGAGAATTTTATATACGTTGTCAACTTCTTACATCTTACTCGAGTCAACAATATTAGTTGTGGGTTATTACAGAGTTTACTGTGAGGTGCAGTGGCTGAGTTGGATACAGTACTCGATGCCCGTCCTAAGAGTAGGTGGTTTGATCCCAGTAGTGAACGGGGAATTAAATTTTCAGTTAGGGTAGTGAAGATGTTTTTGTCGGGTGTAGTGTGCTGGCCATTTTGCATCCTCGTGTCTTGTGGCTGAGAGGATACTACACTCGTCTCCTGTCGTAAGAGGTCGTTGGTTCACGTCCAGGGTACACAGGGTCGACCAAGCTTAGTATTCAGTATGCTGTATCCACACTACCCCTAACAGCCAGTCAAGCCAGTCACGAATGGATGTACACAGTCACGGACGGATACACACGAACGGGCTGAGAGATGATCATGGCTGAGCATACACGGACGAACTCAATCAGGGATATTCGCTGTAAATACACTCATACGAACGGACGTAAATAGACACGGACAGACGTAAAGGCAAACAGGATTAAACACGGACTGAAACCCCCAAAATCACGGACGGAGGAAAAAAAGAGAACCTAAACTTTCCCAGGTTACCTTCCAATTAACCTGTTGATGTGATACATAAGACTCGTCTCTTCTTTATGATTCACCTGTATAAGAAACCTGCTTATGACTCGTGTTAAGTATTATCTGTTTTTTGTTTAATTAATAAATACCGAGGGTTTTTCCTGACTTATTTCTTCGTGTTAACAAGTGATCCATGTGTGTGTGTGTATGTGTGTGTGTGTGTATGTGTGTATATGTGTGTGTGCGTGTTTGTGTGTGTTTGTTGCCGGCCTCGTGTGCATGATTCTCTACGTGTACGTGTTTATGTCTGTTCCTATATTCTGTTTGTTTGTTTGTATAACTATGTGCGTTTGTATGTTTATATGTATATTAGTGTGTGTGTGTGTGTGTGTGTGTACATTTCCTGTATATATTCTAACTTAATTATATAGTAATAAATCACTTAAAATAAACAAATAAACACAAAACAAATAAAAACCACAATACATTTACTAGACTCCTTACCTGACTCTACCTGACCGTCAAACATGGAGGTCAGGCCAGGGAGAACATGACACGGACAGGCCAGGTCTCACAGGTCTCACAGGTCACACAATCAAGCGGAAGTATCTAAAACAGGTGTGGATAAACAGGTAAAGGTGAAAACAGGTAGACGCTATCACTTAACGAGAAACACTTATGCACAAACTTCACCTTCCGATATCTGAGGTCAGGTTGTGGGTATATATTGTGGTGGAGCAGAGGAGCAGCAACAAACGCAGCTCACATCTCACACAATGAAGTTTGTAAGTGAAAGTTGGTAAAATTTTGTCATTTGGGTGTTTTAATCTGATACACTTAAGTAGATTGTAGCCTTATACTCAAAATATACTTCAGAGATACACTTTAAATTGACACACTTAAGTATACTCAATCTTATACTCAAAATAAACTTCAGAGCCATAATGCTATTGATTAGAATTGGAGTCGTTCTATGGTATATATATCAATAGGCTTTGTGGTCTTGGTACAGTGGTGTCAGACGTGTGGTCCTGGTACAGTGGTGTCAGACGTGTGGTCCTGGTACAGTGGTGTCAGACGTGTGGTCCTGGTACAGTGGTGTCAGACGTGTGGTCCTGGTACAGTGGTGTCAGGCGTGTGGCGTTGGTACAGTGGTGTCAGGCGTGTGGCGTGGTACAGTGGTGTGTCAGGCGTGTGGTGTTGGTACAGTGGTGTCCGACGTGGTGTTGGTACAGTGGTGTCAGACGTGGCGTTGGTACAGTGGTGTCAGGCGTGTGGCGTTGGTACAGTGGTGTCAGGCGTGTGGCGTTGGTACAGTGGTGTCAGGCGTGTGGCGTTAGTACAGTGGTGTCAGGCGTGTGGTGTTGGTAAAGTTGTATTAAAATCTACTGTTATCATTCCTCCTCCTACAGACAGCGCTGATACTGGTACTCCTGCTGGTGGTGTCAGCGGTCCTCGGCAGTCCAGAACCGCACAAGGGTAAGGGTGGTAAAGGCTTCAAGAAAGGCGGTCGTCGATCCGGTGGAGGCTCCCGTCACGTCCCAGTTCATGTGATCCCTGTCTATCATGGCGGTTACGGGCACGGCGGCGGCGGATACGGGCACGGCGGCGGCGGATACGGGCACGGCGGCGGCGGATACGGGCACGGCGGCGGCGGATACGGGCACGGCGGCGGCGGATACGGGCACGGCGGCGGCGGATACGGTCACGGCGGCGGCGGCTTCGGTGGCGGATTCGGAGGCAGTTTTGGAGGCTACGGAAAAAAGTAAACTCAAACAAGTGAAACACAGGAGAGTTAGTCTAGAATCACTGCCATTATGGAGAGTCATCCCAGACAGGTAACTCACTCTCACCTGTGATTTACACCTATACTAACCTTCAGACATTTATCTTCACTTATGTCTTTATCAGTTTGTGAGGTGATGTCTTTCTCGTCTATGTTCTCTCTCTAGTCTTTCTACCATTGTAATTTTTTTATTAATTTAATTTGATATTAAAATGTATATAGAAATTTCTCTTGTCTTAATTAGTACCATAAATTGATGATGATGATGATGATGATGATGAAGTGAATTGTGATGATGATGATGATGATGATGATGATGATGATGATGATGATGATGATGATGATGAATGATGATGATGATGATGATGATGATGATGATGATGATGATGATGATAAAGTGAATGGTGATGATAATGATGATGATGATGATGATAATGATGATGATGATGATGATGATGATGATGATGATGATGATAAAGTGAATGGTGATGATAATGATGATGAAGATGATGATAATGATGATGAATATGATGATCATGATGATCATGATAAAGTGAATGGTGATGATGATGATAAATTGAATGGTGATGATAATGGTGATGACGATGATGATGATAAAGTGAATGGTGATGATAATGGTGATGATGATGATGATGATGATGATGATGATAAAGTGAATGGTGATGATAATGGTGAAGATGATGATGATGATGATGATGATGATGATGATGATGATGATGATGATGATAAGGAGGAAGAGGAAGAGAAGCAGTAGGAAGAGAAGGAGAACATAAGAACATAAGAATGGAGGAAACTGCAGCGGGCCTATTGGCCCATACTGGGCAGTCTCATTTACACCCAACCCCTATTGCTCATATATCCATCCAACCTGTGTTTGAAGCTATCCAGCGTATTAGAGTTAATGGTGATGTTTGGTAACTTGTTCCACTCGTCCACTACTCTATTTCCAAACCAATGTTTACCTATCTCGCGCCTAAATCTAAATTTAATTTATCTAATTTAAAACCATTGCTACGAGTTCGCTCCTGGTTGGATAGTTCGAGTACCTTTGTTATATCACCTCTGTTTAACCCTGACTTCCATTTATACACCTCGATCATATCGCCCCTCACTCTACGTCTCTCGAGGGAGTGCAAATTAGGATGCTTTAACCTGTCTCTGTACTCAAGGTTCCTAATGCCCGGGATTAGTCTTGTCATTCCCCTCTGTATGCTTTCTAGGCTCTCGATATATATTCTGTAATACGGTGACCAGAATTGAAATGCGTAATCCAAATGAGGTCTCACAAGCGCAAGATATAGTTTTAGGATGGCCTCGCTAGTCTTGTAACTAACACTCCTTTGTATGAACCCAAGTACTTTGTTAGCCTTGTTTCGAGCAAATACACATTGTTGTCTGGGCTTAAGATTCCTACTTATCATTACTCCTAAATCTTTCTCACATTCAGATTTCTCAATAACATCGTTGTTCACCTGTTATCTGGTTTCCCTGTTTACATCTCCTCGACTAAGTTCTTTACATTTGTCCACATTGAATTTCAGCTGCCATTTTTCAGACCATGCGAATTTTTTTTTAGATCTTCCTGTAGTTTTGCGGAGACCACGTCAGATTTAGTTACACGCCCTATTTTAGCGTCGTCAGCAAATTTACTTACATTTCTGTCTACGCCTATATCTATGTTGTTTATGTATATTATAAATAATAATGGTCCAAGTACTGAATCTTGGGGTACTCCACTAGTGACGTTACCCCAATCGAATTTATTGCCGTTAATGCTCACTCGCTGTTTCCTGTCCAGTAACCACGCCCTAATCCATTTTAGAATATCTCCTCCATTGCCACGAGCCTCCACTTTTCGTATTAGTCTATCATGGGGGACTCTGTCGAAGGCTTTGCTAAAGTCGATATATACCACATCATAATCGTGCCCCTCGTCCACTGATTCGAAAACAGATGAAAAGAATTTTAATAGATTTGTCAGTCATGAACGCCCGCTTGTGAAGCCATGCTGGGAATCATTGATCAATCGGTGCTTCTCCAGGTGATTTCGAATAGAGTTTGAAATTATTGCTTCCAGTAATTTGCCTACAATTGATGTTAAACTAATTAGACAGTAGTTAGAGGATAGTGATCTATCTCCCTTCTTGAAAATCGGTATTTCATTCGCTATCCTCCAGGATTCTGGTATTACACCTGTTTTTAATGACATGTTAAACAACTTTGCTAAGGGCATACTAAGCTCTTCCTTACATTCCTTTAATACTCTGGCAAATATCTCATCGGGACCTGGTGACTTATTAGGCTTTAGTTTGTCTATTTGTTTACTAACATCGTTACTAGTCACTACTATATCGCTTAATCTATTTTCTACACACACACACACACACACACACACACACACACACAGATCTTCATTACAATAATTTCTCTATTTCCGTGGGTAAATCCAAACAGTATCCAGTGTAAACAATTAACAGTGTGTGTGTGTGTGTGTGTGTGTGTGTGGTACAGACAAAGATACAGACTGTCGTCATATTTTATCCAGTATCAACACCTCAGGTTAACCAAACGTAAATATTGTTCATTGGAAACATTTATTTGGGATGAATTTACTTACATACATCATAGTAAATAAAATCCAAGTAAAAACAAACAAAAATGATTGGATTTTTGTTTTTGTAAATTGTGTAAAATTTTGTAAATGAAGGTAAACATAGATGAGTAATTTTGAGAGATAATATATATATATATATATATATATATATATATATATATATATATATATATATATATATATATATATATATATATATATATATATATATATATACAGGAGCAGGTGAGAGTAGGTGAGTTAATTAGTTACCTGTCCGGGAAGACTCTCCATAAAGGCAATGATCCCAGACTGTCTAACTCTCCTACTCTTACTGATCAGGTTTACTATTTTCCGTAACCTCGACGGCCACCTCCGTGCCCGTATCCGCCGCCGCCGTGCCCGTATCCGCCGCCGCCGTGCCCGTAACCGCCATGATAGACAGGGATCACATGAACTGGGACGTGACGGGAGCCTCCACCGGATCGACGACCGCCTTTCTTGAAGCCTTTACCACCCTTACCCTTGTGCGGTTCTGGACTGCCGAGGACCGCTGACACCACCAGCAGGAGTACCAGTATCAGCGCTGTCTGTAGGAGGAGGAATGATAACAGTAGATTTTAATACAACTTTACCAACGCCACACGCCTGACACCACTGTACTAACGCCACACGCCTGACACCACTGTACCAACGCCACACGTCTGACACCACTGTACCAACACCACACGTCTGACACCACTGTACCAACACCACACGCCTGACACCACTGTACCAGGACCACACGTCTGACACCACTGTACCAACACCACACGCCTGACACCACTGAACCAACACCACACGCCTGACACCACTGTACCAACACCACACGCCTGACACCACTGAACCAACACCACACGCCTGATACCACACATATTTTTCACATTTTGTTTGATGTGTTCATGTGTCAATTTTCTTCACCACACACACACACACACACACACACACACACACACACACACACACACACTCACACACACACACTTGTCTTAACACAGCATCATCTGCATATAACAAACATACCTTCATATCATACCTTCTTTCATTCCTTATCTAGTCAACAAAGCTCTCGTCTCTGTACGATCTTAACTGCCTAGGTAAACTGCTCCTCTACACACACACACACAGCGATGATAAATACAACACCGTAATGATACACACACTCTGGATGATAACTCTACATACAATCTCATTTTTTTTCCGCCAGTGAGTGAGTGAGTCAGTCAGTACCCGATTGATGTATATAGCTATTAACTCAACTATATAGATAATATAAGCTATCTTGATGGTATAAAACTATATATCAAGATTGAGTTGTTGATGTTTACTCACAAATTTCATGATGGAGGTGAGGTGAGGTGTGCTGCCCCTTTGTCTGTTTCATCTCTCTACCACAATATATATACTTAAGACTTGACCTTCAGATATCAGAAGGTGAATTTTACCTGCAAGTGTTTCTGGAAAGTGATAGTGCCTGGATGTTTCACCCTTACTCACAATGGACTTGCTTGAGCCAGTTCGTGCCAAAGGAAGAGAAACCACACAGGTCAGCTCCTCCTACTCGCCTTCCCTTATACCTCCCCCTTCCTTCCTTCTCCTTCTTCTCCTCCTTCCCCCTACCCCTACCCCTACCCCTCCTCCTCCTTCCCCCCTTCTCCTCCTTCCCCCTTACCCCTCCTCCTCCTACACAAGCAGACACAACCCTGACCTCCATAATACGTTCAACAACTTTCCAAATGTAAACATGAAGAAAGTGTCAGCCAATGTTTCTTTCCTGGATCATCTTTGTCTGTTTGTCTATCAGTCTATTTGCGTATTTATTGTCTATTTCTGTAATTAGGGGTAAATGTAGATAATGAAATATATAGATATTATTTGATGTTAAAACCCCAGCTTATTTCACCTGCTGTTTAGACACCCCAGCTTGTTTTACCTCTCGTTTAGACACTCAAGCATATTTAACCTGTTATCTGTTGATCTGTTACCTCATTTTGCTATCTTGAGAGATCATCTTACCTGTTAATGTCTAATATAAGGCTTATTGTAATCTCTCCTACAGGTACAGTAATTAGCCCTCTCTCTCTCTCTCTGTAAAAGTATCTTGCTATTTATTTGTCACACACACACACACACACACATTGTTCCTATAATAGCAAACGAATACCCGAACAAAAACTGGTCAGCGCTCACCTGACCTGTGTGTGTGTGTGTGTGTGTGTGTGTGTGTGTGTGTGTGTGTGTGTGTGTGTGTGTGTGTGTTTTACATTCATCAGGGTGGCCACACAGTACAGGTAAAGAGAAAGACAGTGACAGTCAAACAGAGACTGACACACAGACAGACAGACAGACACAAACAGACAGAGACGTAGAGAGGAAGATAAAGGTAAAAAGAAGGAAAGAGGAAGATAGAGAAGGATATAGTGAAAGTAAATAGGTAAACAGAGCCAATTACACGTCAGCCTAAATCCTGGAACATCGGACATCCTCAATACAGCACAGCCACACTTCAACAGCATTAGAAGAATAAGCCCAACCCCCTCTCCCACGAACGCATTCAAACACCCCTCCCACATCCCCACACTCACTCAAACACCTCCACACCCTAGCCTCCACACTCTCAAGCACAGTAGAAAGGTGTGCAATTTTCCTCTTCCCAAAAATTAACTCCAATACATACTACTGATGGTCACGAAATCTTGCAGTTAATTAAAAGAATTACCTGAAAGAACCACTGCGCCTCTAATTTGGTGCCGGATAAAAAAGACCTCAAGTGAAATGGTGAAAATGGTGAAATGGTAAATAAGAAAGGGAATTTTTTTTTTTTTGCCTCATCAGCGATACTTTCAGAAGATGTTTCAAGGCATTTTGGGTGATGTTTATATAATGCAGTGGCTGTTTTGGTGAGATGACAATGGGATTACAGCACGGACGGGAAGAGAGAGAGAGAGAGCTAACACGTACGGACGCCCAAAGCAGTGGTGGCAGTATTCAAGGCAGCCCCTGGGTGGCCCACAGACACAACACTATACCTGAGATGAGAGCTACCTGTGTGTGTGTGTGTGTGTGTGTACTTTAGGTTAGGTCTGGAGCCTATAAGAACAGGAGGGACCCATTAACCTGTACTAGAACCTACTAAAACATCCATCAAGAATCAGGGAGATGACCGACCACAAGAGAGAGGTAAAAGGATCTGAACTGCTGTCGATAAGAAAGAAAAAAAGAAAAACTATCAAGAAAGAAGAAATGCTGTCGACCAGAGAGGAAAAAAAAGTAAAAATAAAACTGTCAACAAGAAAGAAAAATGAACAATGTAGTCGATATGGGTGAAGAAAGTGGCCATAATGATCCCACAAGTTGAAGAAGAAAGAATTTAAGTGAACACAAGTGAAGAAAACTCATGATGACAAGACTCCTATAGCCAACCACAGGTGTGAGAGAGGTAATGAAGGAATGGCGTGACACTACCAGGCGCCTCCACCTAGTGTGTGTGTGTGTGTATGTGTGTATGTGTGTCTGAGGAATAAATTGGTGATATAAGAGCACTGTGGATGAATACATGTGCAGTCGTTTGTTTGGGAAAGGTTAAACGATAACTAATTTTTTCTTTTTTAACTACGACAATCACCACAACTACAACCACAGCTACAACTATTACAACCACAACTATTACAACCACTAGTACGACAACCACAACTATTACAACCACAACTATTACAACCACAACTATTACAACCACAACTACGACAACCAAGACCAGGGTTGACAATAAAAGCTCTTTGCACTGTTCAAAAGCACACGGGTGTATATGTTACTGCTTCCAGACACTAGCCAGACCTTTACAGCATAAAGCTTTTTCAACTATAACTCCGCAGGGCTGAAGTTAAAGTGATCTGAAGACAGTATTTTGGATACATCATGAAGTCAAAAGTCACGTTACTGTTGTATTTGCGTCATTAAGTATACATTTATGTAGTTTTAACAATTAGATTTTGTTTTAATGTTTAATTTTGTCACACATGATGGGTTAAAATTGTCCTCGTAAAAAAGGACAATGGTTTAAAGTGTCACATGAAGATTAGCCCACCTCCAGCTTATGTCTCCTTCACCACCATAACATAACATAACATAACATAACATAACATAACGTTTTAAAGTAGTAAATGGTAAAATAAACACAAAAATAAGAGCACTTAGGTGGCCCCTTACAATGGCGCTCACAACAGTACAAATGTATGGATCATGGACCTATAGTAATAATAATAAATGAAGCTTAGTGATAGAGGCTCACTGGCAAAGAACACATAAGTCACATAATGATCACATAAGTATCACCTAAGTAGCACATATAAGTATTACCTAAGTAGTAAATAAGGCTGAAAAGGTCATTCAGACGATAGAAGGAAAAACACATAAAGCTCACTTAGTTATAAAGTAGTAAATACGAGGAAGAGACGGGGGCTGGAGAGTGTCGAGGTACACACACACACACACACACACACACACACACACACACACAGAGGCAATAGATGGGTGGAAGGTGAGACAAAAAACGTAAGAGGAATGTGGAAGAAATATGAGTAGAGTGTGAGGGAGAAGGCGAACAAGACCTTATTACACGGGCCCACCTCACGGTAAACACGCTGGTCTATAATGTCATGTAAATTGGCAGATAAAGGACGCCTTCTGTTGCTGGAGCCGGAGGAGCAGAAGAAAGGTGGGGAGAGACGCCTGGATCACTGGTGCCAGTTTATTTTCCCGTCAGAATATGATGGCGAGACGTGACACCTATATACAGAGAAATGGTGCTAATTACAGGTAGTTAGAGAAGAAAGGAATATCAATAAGTGAAAGATATGGTGATGAGAGAGAGAGAGAGAGAGAGAGAGAGAGAGAGAGAGAGAGAGAGAGAGTGATAACTGGAGATATTTACTTCACCTCCCTATCTGGATTTACAAGTTGCTAGTGACGGTGTGCTCAATATTTTCTTTAGTGTGTAGTGCAAGAAAATCATTTTATTGTTTTGAATTAGACTGACTCAACAGATAATACAGATATTAGTTGTGCAGAGAGACAAGGATGAGGGATGTTGACGTCACTAACTTCTTCAGAGGTTAGGAAAACGATGACATAAACAGATTTGTTTTTATTCAGTAAAAAATCAGTATCGTACAAAAATGATGATGAAGGTTATAAGAACATAATATTTCCTACACGAAGTGTAAGATTTTTATAATGAAAGGAAGAATGAGGTGTTAGGAAAGTATTGACCATTATTTACATTAGTGATTAATATGAGCAGGTGAGAGAGAGTTACCTGTCCAGGAAGACTCTCACAGCGGCAGTGTTCCCAGACCAACTCTCTAACTCTCACTTGTTCAGTCTACTTCTTTCCGTAGCTTCCATAACCGTAACCGCCGTGACCGCTTCCAAAGCCGCCGTACAGACCACCGTGACTACCTCCGAAGCTGCTGCCGAAGCCGCCACCGTAGCCGCCGTGGCTGTAGCCGCCACCGTAGCCGCCGTGGCTGTAGCCGCCACCGTAGCCGCCGTGGCTGTAGCCGCCACCGTAGCCGCCATGGTACACTGGGATAGGTACTTGCACCACGTGAACTGGACGGAAGCCGCCAAAGCCACGACGGCCGCCTTTCTTGCTGCCAAATCCAAAGCCCTTCTTGTGTGGGGCGGGACTACTGACGACCGCTGACACCACCATCAGGAACACCAGGATCAGCGCGGTCTGTGTGTGACAACAACAACACGTCACAACTCAAGATGTGGATCAGATTACAGGGATTTTTCTCTAAACAAAGATGTTTTGATATAATATCGTGAACACCTTTTCGTCTTCTGGTAAATCAATCTAGTTTTATTACATGTTACTTATGTAAGAGATTACTGAATACTCAGCTTCAGGTATACAAGGAGGCAGTGTGGCTGGCACTGTACCCAACAGCCATCTCTACCCTAACTATAAAGTTGGGTACTCATGGTGGGTCGACGTGGGGTGCCGAGGGAACTAACCAGCAACCCTTCGGGCAGCAGGTGAGCGTTGTATCCACTCTGCCACTCCAGTTCTCAGCAATATTAATGAGTATATTAATTTCTTTACTTTAAATTTCATCTTGCTACAAATGTGACCATAATAGTTTAGATAAACGTTTACTTACAAACTTCATTGTGTGAGGAGATGTGAGCTGCGTTTGTTGCTGCTCCTCCGCTCCACCACAATATATACCCACAACCTGACCTCAGATATCGGAAGGTGAAGTTTGTATGTAAGTGTTTCTGGCAAGCGATAGTAGCCACATGTCTCACCTTTACCTTCACTCACCTGCTTGAACCACTTCTTGTCGCCTTACAGGAGAAAAAACATCTTGAGACTTGTTTCAACTTAACGTTTTACCCCTGACCTTCACCAGGTCTTCCTCAATGATGACCAACAGTTTTGATCAGATAAGTTTGAGAAAAAAATTATTAAATATAAAATAATAACAGTGCTAATGATAACAATAAGAAGGATTATAATACTTCTAATATTTATATCTATTTGTTGTGATATATCTTGTGTCCTCATATTACAACTAGTTCTACAACTACAACTACTACTTCAGCTTCTACTACAACAAGAACTACTACCACTACTACTACTACTACTCCTAAAAGTAATTTAATGGTCTCCAACCTCCCCTTACAGCCATAACTTCTCCACACATTTCATTACCTAACTATCTTATTACAAAATTATCTACCGTACTTGAGTTAGTTAGCAGCATATCTTTGCAGCATTACATAACTATTGTCTCTTAGTCCATGTTTGTGACTGTTTGTGTAAAGGCCGATGATCTTCCCTGAGACAGCAGAGCAGACGTGAGCAAGGAGAAGGCTCGGCAACACGTCAACCAGGCCACGACATAACTTCTGGGCTGCTGCTTCTGTTCAGGTAACACCTCAGCCAGTCTAGTACCTTACACTTGGTCCCATCCCGCCCGATGTTGTCAACACCAGAGGAGTGAAGCTGCCTTCGTCAACGTTCTGGATTCTTTTTGATACACTTCGTTCTTTTCGTACTCGTTGAAACTGTGTGCGTGACACAGTGATTAACTTGAGCTGGTGATAGAGAGTGACCTGTCCAGGAAGACTCTCACAGCGGCAGTGTTCCCTGACCAACTCTGTAACTCACTTGTTCAGTCGACTTCGTCCAAAATCCTCTAGAAATGATGTCCAATCACACTTCGTTGGTTGTGTTGGCAGTCCTGTGAATAAGGTGCACACCATGGCATGGTTAATATCGTAGGATATTCCAAACACACATTAAGATTGCATGCCTTCCACTGGCCAAACATACTTTAGATCAATGGCATCTGAAAATTCTTGTTTGTTGGGACTGAAGCCCTTTGCTCTTGTTGGTAGAGTTGTCAGCCAGCTTTTGGTCCTCACCTCCTTTGCTACCTCGACTTTCCTCTTCACAATCTCTGGCCGTTGTAGCATCAGTTGTTGAAATTTTTTGCTTTGGGTGTGCTGCCGTTATGTCATAATGGAATGTCGAATTTTGCATAGTTGGTTGGTGTCTACATCACTTGTAGCATATTGAGTGACTATATGATCAATGAAGGTTGCCGTGAGCTTGACACAGTTCTGAAATTTAGTGGCTGAAAACTCCTCTGGGTTAGTGATTCCCATTCCTCCTTGTCTCAGTGGCAGGGCTAGGAGTGACCTTTCTACTGGGGTAAATTGATGGCCATTCGGTGTTGAAATAAAGGCGTTCTTGATGGTTTCTTCTAGCGATCCGATGTCATGGATAGTACACATCAGGAACTTCTAGCGATGCTTGATTCCGTGGGTGAATGCCACAGTCGCCGCATGTGGCTCAGTCTTAACATTTTCCGACAGAGCTTTGATTTCCTTCTCCCACTCATTTACCTTTCCAGTTACATATTCGGTCTTAAAATCATTCGTGCCGATTTCCGCACCCAGATGTTTCTGTTATTTTGGCCTCACTCCCGTTGAACACCTCTATAGCCTGGTGATGGTATCCTGGCTTCACAATGAGGAAGGATTTACTGGCCTTTGGGTGGTACCCGGTTTGTGAACCACATGAGGTTATCAGGTCCAACCACTTTCTGGTATCCTCAACTTTTCCTGCTCCTGTAAGGACATCAGCATAGGCCGCTTGCTTGACTCTGGTTGTCTTGTAATTTTAATATAAGTTGGATCTGGCGACTGGGTCCCCTGTGTCGTTCCCTCGGTTGACTGTATGGCAGTAACTTCAATTAAGGCCTTGAAACTCGTTATATAGAGGCCTAGCGGGTTCCAATAGGCACCTGACACTGATTTTGTGCAGAGTAGCCTTGCGGTTAAGTACGTTGCCAGTGTTGGAGGCGTCTGCGAGACGTACAGCTTCGCATTCATGCTCCTCATATATCTTTCTCATGGCGTGAATGGCAGCGTCTCCCTTCAGCCTGCTGGTCAGCACATACTTGCACATTCTCTGCTGCTGCCGCCCTGACATCATCTTTGACCACCTTCATTTTACATTTACCAATAATTCGTCTCAACACTTCCCCTACCCCTATAGGTCTGCATCCTGGATTTTGTCCAAAGGGTTGAGGCAGCTGCCCATTAGAGCTTGTAAGTAGTGGCAACAGCAGGTTTTCAGCTTTCTTGCAGCGGAGACAATGATATTGCAGATATCACTTACAGTATCACCAAACTTGTTACTGCTGAGGATAACTCTCCATCCATTGGCACCATGGTCTGATGGACTGGCCCCTCCCTGGGCCTTCAGTGCTTTCTTTTATAACCACCTTCCTGTTTTTTTCTCGAACATAACTGCGTTTGGCTGGATCATAATCACCCCGTAACCTGATGCCTTCCCTTTCTCTTGCAGGAGGATCTTTCTCCTTCAGAAGTTTCATGGTTTATCGGCAGCACCCCACCTAAGGACTCCTCTGTGAGAGATCTTATTGCCGAGGACACTTTTCTAGCGAGCATCAGTTTACCAAACAGTCTGGCCGCATCATCGGAGCTTTGCTTTCTGTCTCCTGTAAATTAAAATTAACCTCATCGTCTTCTAACCTAACCAAACCTCACATAACATGAACTAATTGAATATAATCTAACTTAAACTAACCTATCTTATCCTCCTACAGGTAACAGTTGGGTTTAATCACCAGATGGTACAAGTTGGGTTGTCTTATCTTCAAGTGATCTAAATTTGGTTGTGCAGAGAGACAAGGATGAGGGATGTTGACGTCACTAACTTCTTCACAGGTCAGGAAAACGATGACATAAACAGATTTGTTTTTATTCAGTAAAAAATCAGTATCGTACAAAAATGATGATGAAGGTTATAAGAACATAATATTTCCTACACGAAGTGTAAGATTTTTATAATGAAAGGAAGAATGAGGTGTTAGGAAAGTATTGACCATTATTTACATTAATGATTAACATGAGCAGGTGAGAGAGAGTTACCTGTCCAGGAAGACTCTCACAGCGGCAGTGTTCCCAGACCAACTCTCTAACTCTCACTTGTTCAGTCTACTTCTTTCCGTAGCTTCCATAACCGTAACCGCCGTGACCGCTTCCAAAGCCGCCGTACAGACCACCGTGACTACCTCCGAAGCTGCTGCCGAAGCCGCCACCGTAGCCGCCGTGGCTGTAGCCGCCACCGTAGCCGCCGTGGCTGTAGCCGCCACCGTAGCCGCCATGGCACTGGGATAGGTACTTGCACCACGTGAACTGGACGGAAGCCGCCAAAGCCACGACGGCCGCCTTTCTTGCCGCCAAATCCAAAGCCCTTCTTGTGTGGGGCGGGACTACTGACGACCGCTGACACCACCATCAGGAACACCAGGATCAGCGCGGTCTGTGTGTGACAACAACAACACGTCACAACTCAAGATGTGGATCAGATTACAGGGATTTTTCTCTAAACAAAGATGTTTTGATATAATATCGTGAACACCTTTTCTTCTTCTGGTAAATCAATCTAGTTTTATTACATGTTACTTATGTAAGAGATTACTGAATACTCAGCTTCAGGTATACAAGGAGGCAGTGTGGCTGGCACTGTACCCAACAGCCATCTCTACCCTAACTATAAAGTTGGGTACTCATGGTGGGTCGACGTGGGGTGCCGAGGGAACTAACCAGCAACCCTTCGGGCAGCAGGTGAGCGTTGTATCCACTCTGCCACTCCAGTTCTCAGCAATATTAATGAGTATATTAATTTCTTTACTTTAAATTTCATTTTGCTACAAATGTGACCATAATAGTTTATATAAACGTTTACTTACAAACTTCATTGTGTGAGGAGATGTGAGCTGCGTTTGTTGCTGCTCCTCCGCTCCACCACAATATATACCCACAACCTGACCTCAGATATCGGAAGGTGAAGTTTGTATGTAAGTGTTTCTGGCAAGCGATAGTAGCCACATGTCTCACCTTTACCTTCACTCACCTGCTTGATCCACTTCTTGTCGCCTTACAGGAGAAAAAACATCTTGAGACTTGTTTCAACTTAACGTTTTACCCCTGACCTTCACCAGGTCTTCCTCAATGATGACCAACAGTTTTAGATCAATAAAAGATTAAATGAATTATTTCCCTTTATAAAATATAAGATATGATATAAACTTTTCCTTTTTCTGGAGATCATCTTTATCAGGTAATATAACGTAATTACTGAATACTAATATACTTCTCTTGTTCTTCATAACAATAAGTTAATAAAGGAAAGAGAAACAAGTGTAAATATTCTGTAAATATATATCAACATATCGTATATAACCAGATAATTGTATATAATTCGTATACTAATGTCAGGTCACCAGACAAGACTCTCTCTCAGGCGTAGTGAACTAAATGATCAAATTTGTGTCAAAATGTTAAGTGTTAAGAAGTTTACCAGGAAGGTAGAATGTGTCCTCCTTCCCTGGCCAGCTGGCAGTCATGTGAGACAATAACACCTCACTGCTGGTCACTGATCATCCAGTCTGGCCTATGTTAAGTGTTCAGGCTGTTGGTGACGAGTCTAGCCTGTGTTAAGTGTTCAGGCTGTTGGTGACGAGTCTAGCCTGTGTTAAGTGTTCAGGCTGTTGGTGACGAGTCTAGCCTGTGTTAAGTGTTCAGGCTGTTGGTGACGAGTCTAGCCTGTGTTAAGTGTTCAGGCTGTTGGTGACGAGTCTAGCCTGTGTTAAGTGTTCAGGCTGTTGGTGACGAGTCTAGCCTGTGTTAAGTGTTCAGGCTGTTGGTGACGAGTCTAGCCTGTG